CCTGTCTCGAAAAAAAAAAAAAAAAAAAAAAAAAAAAAAAAAACAAAGAGGCGTAGAAAGGAACTAGCCAGCCAGGTGAGGTAAGGGTTGGGTGGTGTTCCAGCTGGTACAAGAGTACTTTCAGAAAGAGAGGTGAGACCTCAGCGAGCAGGACACTGCATGAATAGTGCTTGTCACTGGGCTATGGTACTGGTCCTATGCTGACATTTACTTGAAGTAGCCCTGTCTGTTTTCCATGAAATCACCTGCTTTTTGTGGTAAGCCCCCTGTATGCATAGCCTTGTCAGCACACTTGTGAAAGCACAGTATTGGTTTGATTCTCGAATCAGACAGTTAATTCTTAAAGTTCAAAATGGCTCTATTCATTCATTATTATATCTACCACTGTGGGCTGGTGCTCATTACACTTGTTTGTTGAAAGAATGATAGGCTTTCTTTGTAAAATGGATTACACCCTTCTTGCTTTCTTGAGCCAACTATCACTTTTCTTCCAGTTTATCATTACATCCAGCAGTTAATGTCCTGTGTGGCAGTTGAGAGATGCCCTTAGGGCCTTTTGAGGTGCTGTGCTTGGAATCCTTTTTCAGCTTTTCATTGTCCTGTTCTTTTCCCTCCCTGCCTGGCTAGTGTTTGATTGTGATCAATCTGCTTGGCTCTGAATTGTCCTCCCCAGCCTAATTTCCTTCTACTAATCTGCAATGGGCTAGAAACACGATTCCCAGTATGAGAGGATACAACAGAGTGACTGTGACTAAGGGTTGGTCACTCTGAGTTCTTAAAGAGCTTGTACAGGAAAAGTATAGATAACCATTACACTCACCCAGAGGCCATGCTAGTCTAGATAACCCCCAGCCATATGTGCCCAGAGGCCAGGCTAATCCAGGTACTCCCTCAAATGTGCCCAGGCCAATTAATATATATAATACCCTTCATGTGTCCAGAGACTAGGCTAATCTAGATACTCCCCCTCAGATGTGCCCAGAGGCCCATTTAATTTTTGCTGCTCAGAAATTTTCTTACTGTTCTTGATACCCAAGAAAAAGTCACATAACACTCCAGGGCAAGCAGTGTGGTCTGGTCTCCAGCTCTGAGCTCTGCCACCTTCATCTTGGCCAGAGATTTGAAATGCTTCCACCCAGGCAAGCTTGTTAGGGTGCTGGCTACATAGCTCAGGCTGTCTGTCACATGGTATAGCTAGGTTCCACTGAATGTCTTACAGCATTGTCTGAGAAAGAAAAGAAGAGAATGCAAGGAGCTAAGGCTGGTACCACAGCATCCACACTCTGCTTCTTTCTCCGTGCTTGATTCTTTCATTGGCACAGAGCAAGAACTCACCTGGTGCTGAGGTGAGCCTGACTACTAGGCTCCAGCAGACCTTCTACCTTAGCCTCCCACACGGCTTACACAACCACTTAACTAGCCAAGTGAGCTGAGCTTTCGTGTTCTCTTCTTAAAAAGTGGAACTGGAATATGACTTCTGAACAGCCTTATGGCTTTTCGAACTTTATTTATATAGTGTCTATCAGTTCATTCTGAAAGCACTCAGAAAGAATGGCTTAGGAATTACCTGCCTTGTGCTTCTATCTAGGCAAGGTCACACCTTTTTTTGTCCACATTCTTTTGTACCTCAAGAGGCTGAAAGAGCCTGCCCTTTACAGGGTTAGTGCCAGGGCACAGGAGAGACATGACACAGGGAGGTAGATTCTGCCCCAAACAAACTCAGCTCAAGAGTTAACATTAGAGAAAATTGGTTTCTGAGTTAGCTTCCAGCATGAGGGAAACAAAAGCAGGCTAGAATCTGCTCTGTGGGGCCTTCCTTTTCAGGGGGGTAGAACCTTCTAGTTTATTAGCTGGTCTAAAAGTGTCTGGGCAACAGCATAAACCAGGACCAGTCTGGTAAACAGATGTGTGTCTGTCCACCAACCCAGAGGACTTGAAAAATGTAACAATCTCAGGTTTGTTTGTTTGTTTGCTTGTTTTTAATGACCTGGAAGAGAGCCTGGGGGTTTGCACAAGGTTTGTCTATCTTTACCTTTCAGAAAATGTTTTTAAGAGTGAAAAAATCAGATGGCCCTGGGCAGCGGTGATACAGCACTTGAGGAGAGAGAGGTGGGAAGAGCAAGTTCCAGTACAGCCAGAGCTACACCAAAAACCTATGAGATTGCAGGAGATCGAAGGGAGCTCAGCAATAGAGCTCTCGTCTGTCATGCACAAAGATGTGTTCAACAACGGGCTCAGTACTTGGCGCCACCAAAAAGCAAATTACAGATACAGTAAATTCCAACTTCGTAGGGAATGTACACACACAGGCCCGATAATACAGTCTCCGAAGAGCTAGACTGAAATGTTAAATGTGCCTTCTCAGGTTGCTGAGGTATTGGCTCCTTTTTCTTCTTTGTACTCTGCTGTAGTTTCAATTTTGGTTTGATTTTGTAAATCAGATTTTAAGCTTTAAGTCATGTACCAAATTGTAAACAGCAAAGGTATGTGGCTTCTGCACAGACAGCCTCTGGTCCCACCCTCACCCCCCTGGTCTACTTCCTACCTTCACCTCCTTCTCACCTACACTCCTCATCCTTTGAGTTGCCCAGTGTTCCATGAACCTTTTCTCCATGCTCAAGCTGAGCTCACCTGTCCCCTGGCTCTGTGTCATCCTAATTCATCCCAATGCAGACTTTATCTGCACACACTAAACATCTACATATTATCTGTCCTTTTGTCAGATTAGGTCAGAGACGATACTGATTCACTTCATGTCCCCAAAATGACTCCTACATGTCAATCAACACTCATAAAACAAACCAGACTGTTTTACCTCCTCTTGCCCAGCCCAGATGGCCAGGGACACTGTATAGGTGCTACTTAATGTTTAGAATTACATAGATAAATTAAAATGTTAAAGAATCTAGGCAGTTGAAGCAAGTAGACCACTGTGAGTTTCAGACCAGCCTGAGGTATATAGAGAAAAACCTGACCTCAAAAACATTAAAAAAAAATCAAAAGAAAATATATGAGACTGGAAGGAGTGGCTCACACCTGGAATCTCAGCACATGGGAGGTAGATGCAGGAGGATCACATAGTGAGGCCCTGTCAAGACTCACACACAATCTAAAGGGAGATGGGTAAGGAAAGTAGAAAGGGGAACCCTGAGCATGCACAGACTGATCTGTTACTAATGGAGGGTTGGATTTTTTTGTTCCTCAGTCCTAGTCACTCGAGAGGATGACTTCAACAACCGACTGAACCACCGTGCTAGCTTCAAAGGCTGCACCGCCCTGCACTATGCTGTCCTGGCCGATGACTACAGCATCGTCAAGGAGCTGCTGGATGGAGGTGAGAGCTGTGGGTGGTGGCTGGCAGGAGAGTGTGCCACACCTCTAGCACTCTGTTACTTTCCTGTAGTTAAAAGAGTGATCGTTTCCCAAGATCAAGTGTCAGTGTGTGATTTGTCCTCTGGTGGCTGGTGTATGTTCTTGACCTGGGGGAAGAGGGGACTGGGACAGTGTCTACTCTGTCTGCAATAAACGGGGAAGTTTTTAAACATTTTTTAAAAAAGTATTCGGTGAAGTAGATATGTACACCTCAGCGTGCGCAGGTGTCCTTGGAGGTGAGATGCATCTGGTCTTTCTAGAGCTGGAGTTACAGAAGCGACATGGTTGTTGGGAACTGAACATGAGTCTTCTGGCAGAACAGGAACCTTAATTGCTTAGCCCCATTTCTTCAGCCCCAATGTGAGAGTTTTCTTGATTGATGGATGGCTCTTCTCTCTTTCTCCTGTGACCTCCAGAACAGGACCAGGAGAGCAAGGGAAGTCATGTGAAGCCCTGCTAACCCGTTATAGTTATAGAGTTGTTCTCCTGGATCTTGGACCTGGTCCAATGTCACTATGCCTCAACATTACTCTGAGCCATGGTGTCCTGTTCACATCCATACTTGGACTCAAGGTGGCTGGGATACAAAGTTACGTTTGAGGACAGCCTGGACTTCAGAGTGAATTCCAGGGCAACCTGAGCTACATAACTGAAACCCTGTCTCCAAAAAAACCAAAACAAAACAACACAGAACCAACAGTAACAAAGTGGGAGGCTTCTCATCTGACTGGCCCTCTGAGATTGCAGACCACACTGACTGATTCCCTAGTCCCTGCATGGTTTTCGGCACATAGTAAATATTCTATAAATATTTGCTGAGTGATGAGTGTCCTCCCTTTCAGGAATGCCAGTGTCGTTACAGAGATAATATGCACCAGACTTCGGCTGACCTGGTCCTATCCAAGTCTGCCACACAGTTCACTGCCAAGCACCTTCAGACAGCCATTTCCTTCTTAGTTCCCCTTATCCCCATCAGCCTGAGTAGAGCCAGCATGTGGGAGACCCAGATCCCAGGGATAACAGCAGAAGAACACCTGTTTACTTGTTGGCTGATGCTTTTTGAAGGTCAGGGGCCCATTCTTGAGGCTGGAACCTAGGGGTACAGTTCATTCTCTTTCATTTGATCTGAAAGAACTAGAAGGTTCTTTCCAGGGCCTCTGCATCACTCAAATGAGTGTCTTATCTCTCCAAGACTAGTGATCATCCGACTCTTTGTCCAGGTAGTCCCACTTTGCTTCACAGTGACTGATGGGAACACCTGTTTAATAAGCTGTGATCACTGTGTAACTTCTGCTAACTGACTGTTTTTGCCACCTAACCATTTTCCAACATCAGCCTGTGAAGTTTGTTCTGTCCCACAGCCTTTGCCTTCCAGGACAGGCATCCTAATTATCTTCCAGCATATGTGATGTCCTCAGGCTAGGGATACTTCTCAGGAACTCAGTCTTGTTACTTGTCAGCCATAGGCACACTGGTTTCATAGATGGATCTTGCCTGTACTCTCAACTACCCTGTGGTTTGGTGACTGTATCTGGGTGACTGGTACTGGGTGTCTATAAGGACTCAGGGCTCCCAGAAGCATACACTTCAAAAACACCCCCTACCCCACCCCCACCCCCGCAGACTGCTTTCAACTCTGTCCTTTGGAAGCTCTCTGGCAAGACATTTGAACCTTAGCTCAGAGCATGTACTGTGGGGTTTCCCTCTGCCATGCCTTAAAATCAATGTGCCTAGTCATTTTCTCCTAGTTCATATTCCTGCTTCCCTACCACCACCACCACCACCAAACAGAAAGAGTTCACTCTACAAGAAACCCTCCATGCCCCTCTTCCAGATCGAACACCTTTAAAATGAAGAAGCAAGGGCCTTTTATGAGATTCCCTCCACCCTCAGGCCCCCAGGCCAAGGCTAGCCCTTTGAGCTTTTCCAGGGACATGCTTTCCTGTCCGATGACTTGGAACGGATGCCCTAAACCCCCACCTTTGCGTTTCTTCCACCTGCCTTTTTAGTAGTCATCCATTTATACCCTGGTTTCCCAGCCTCGAGGGCCTGAACAAGTTGTTGTCACTCGTGGCCTGCAGGCCTGCCAACTTCTGACCCCTCTCCCCTTTTGGGCCTCCCTTAGTCTACTAGTGTATGTGACCAGCCAACCGAGAGGCACGATCCTTGTCCTAGGGGCTGTTGTCAGTAACGTTTCCAAAGTCTTTGACCTCTGCTGACCTTTTCCAAAGGGTCTGCCTTCCTACCCATCAACTTTATCAGAGTGTTCTGGCCACCAGCTTTGCCGTAGCAACACCCAAGGCAGGCCTAGGCACAAAAACTGTCTGCTCACAAAGTTTACAGAGGTTTAGGTTCCTGGGTCTGTGGGTTAGAGGTAGAGGGAGCAGTATCTCATGCTCTCTATTTGAGTTGTAAAGAGGCTCAGGCAACATCAAGCTGATGATGTGGACACCCTCCAGCCTGTAGGAGGCAGCATGGAGTAATAGAAAAGAGCCCAGGCTTCAGAGTCAACTAGCCAGGGTTGGAATCCCAGTCTCCCATAAGCTAACCAGGTTACCTTGGACAGGTTATCCTAGCTCTCTTAGTCTTTGTTGTTTTATGTGTCACGTGATACTTTCACAAGAATAAGTAGAGATTAGTAAGAGATGTAAAACTCCCTGGTAGACACATGCTAAATGCTCTGTGACATTTTGGGGAAGAGCCATCCATCAATCAAGAAAACTCTCACATTGGGGCTAAGCAACTAAGGTTCCTGTTTTTATTAGGGTATGTTAATGCAGATAATGGTAGATTTTTGTACTTTGATCACAGACCCCCAGTGTCCCTCCCTCTCTCCTGCTGCCCTACCTGGTCAGTCCCCAGTGGCCCCTCTCTCTTTCCTGCTGTCCTCTAGTTGATTCACACCCTGAGTCTCACTTCTCCCTTCGCCATATGTATATATGTAAATAATTTATGTGCCTATATGAGGTCTCAGATCCACACTGAGGGACAAACATGTTTTCCTCATTAGCACTTAGATACAGAAATCACACTCTAATGCTGGCAGCTTTAACTCCATTTCTCTTAAAACTCTGTCTCTGCCTTCAACATCCCCATTCTACCTAGAGTGCTGTTGTCTTTCCTTACTTCTCACTACTCGTACTCATAGACTTCTGTCCCTTGTCGTCCCTATTTGTCGTCCTATGAACGTGTACATTGTTGGCCCAGAGCTTACCACTGACTGCTCAGGGTCATTTCTTTCTATTTCAAGAAACCCCATAACTGAAAAGGTACAAGCTTTGGAGACAGACTTGGCTTTAAAATGTGTCTCCGTTATATCATTATGTTAAACTATTTGCTGTCTGTGAGATCACGAGCCTCAAGACACCTTATGGATCAGGCACACTGTCTCTGACCCTGAGACTTTCACGCTGACAGATGTGCAAACAGGCCATGGCAATGGGGTGGGTGCTTCCACGGGAAATTGAACAAGGGGCTCTGTGGACATGAAAGGGGACATGCCCTCTTGTCACTGATGGGCAAGAAGATGGCATAAAGTACAGAAAGACTGCTGGGTGAATGGACGACACCCCACCCCCCACCCCTTTCCAGGAAGACTAATAGGAAGACATTCTCTTGTAGGGGTTTGAATTAACTGGTGTCAGTCCTGTAGTATACTATAGGCAGTTTACTGACCATGTATGTTCATCCTTGGTGCTACTGCCTCTGTCTGTTGTTGGCTTAGAGCAGGAAGGCTCTGCTTTCACACTTTGCATGTACAAGAAAACGTGGAGGAGGACAGGTGGACACAATGACTAGAAAGAGAATGGGGTTGGGGGCGTGGCTGCAGCTCCCTACGTCAGTAACCCAGAGCTGTTAAACTGCATTAACAGTTTCCTCTCAGGAATGTGCTCCCATGAACATATCTGCCTAACACATGCCTCTAATCATTGTGGCTTTTTTGACTCAGTTCCTTCAGAGAAATAAGCTCTAAAACCCCAAGGCATCTATTGTATATAAGGAACTCACTTTTCTCTGAGGCATCTAAAATAGTACAAGGTAAATGCCACTCTAGGGAGAGGTGATAAAATCATTTTTCATCAGCCTGACACTTAGCTGTGCTTCTTCCAGCCTCTAGCACCCACCTAGTGTTTCCAGTGCTGCCCCTCTGTTCCTGCAATTCTTTCTGCCATTTGCGTCCCACTGAGGCAAATGGCTTCTTTCTCAGGCTGGCAGGCTTCTTTCTACTGGCCAGTCCCCAGTTCCTGGGCCACCTTCCTGCTGTGCATCTTTCCTGCCCTGGGACTAGGGTACAGATGACTTGCTACACTAAGGTGGATGTACTCTGAGGCTGTATTTCTCTTTTCATCTCCCCTCCTTAGCTCCACATTGGCACACTACTTACTGAGCACATGTTTAGAAGTACTAACAGATCTTGCTGACTCTCAGCATCCTGCTGCCTCCCATCTGAGCACCTCCGTATCCCTCCTTCCACTGCTGCTTCCTGTTTCATCACTGACACTCCTTACCTCAGTAACACTTGGCCCTTCTGAAATCTAATCCTCCTCCTCAGGGCCTCCCTCAGCCTTTCCTTCCTACTTTCAAGGTTCCTCTTTGACCTCTTCTCTGAGTGCCTGGGTGAATTGTCAGTGTTAACCTGCCAGCATCCACTGAGTTCCTAAATTCCTGCTACCCGCCTGAGGCAAAGAGCCTGCCCAGTGCTACCATCTTCCCTGCAGCAGCCTGTTGTTAGCCCATCATTAGGACCAAAACCTAGTGTTCCGTTTCTTGTTCCACTTCACTGTCTGTCCATCTGTCTACACTGACAGATGTTGTGCCGACAGCTTTCTTTGCCTGGGGCTGTCTGCCCTCTGTTGAAAGAGAAGGGTCAGTAGTTCTGGCTCTGGCACCCACAAATTCTCCTTTATGCAAACCCTTTCTCACTCTTACAAAATAGAGCACTACTGAAGAGATGTCAAGAGC